CCCACACACTTTTCATACACTAGCGATTTTGGTGCGTGTGAGAGAGCCAAATTTTCCCTACCTTTTAGATTAAGATTGTGCTGTTGTTTACTACTGTTCATTGTGACATTCGATAATTTTCTGTAGGGTTTTAGTCGTTACTGCTCATTTTTTCCATTCACGAGAGCATTGTCGCTAATTTAAGTCGATTTTTATCAGATCTTTGTTGTTTTTACTCATCCCACTTTTAATTTAGTCTGTACAATGCCGACCAAAGCTTTGGGAGAGACTCTGAAGGAGTACTTGGTCGTTGGTCGCAAGTTGCCAACCGAAAAAGAGCCAGTGACTCCAATCTGGAAGATGCAGATCTTTGCTTCTAATCATGTAATCGCCAAGTCCCGTTTCTGGTACTTTGTCTCTATGCTTCGTCGAGTAAAGAAGGCAAACGGCGAAATTCTGTCGTGCAAGCAGGTAATCATCGTTCAATGAGCCGGGTGCAAGTCGGCTGTCGGGGAGCGACCATTCAAAGGTACTTGTGAATACCCATTCTTGCATAAAGAACTTGGTTCCTCAATCCAGGAGGTGGTTATCTAAAAGCTCTAATCTCCAATCTGGCAAGGTTCAAAGTTCTGCTCAAAGATTCCTATGAATGCCTCCTACGGCCGACTTGCGCCCAGATAGTTGTGCCCATGCATTTAATTCCTTTCTGAGGCACTAATTATTACTTTTAGATCTTCCCGAATAAGGAGGCCGGTTCGGTGAAAAACTACGGTGTCTGGTTGAAGTACGACTCCCGTACCGGACATCACAACATGTACAGAGAGTACCGCGATGTTACTGTAGCTGGGAGCAGTCACTCAAGCCTACCGAGATATGGGAGCTCGTCATCGTGCTCAGGCCGATCGAATCCATATCCTCAAAGTTCAGGCTGTCAAGGCAGCTGACACCAAGCGTGCTGGTGTTAAGATGTTCCACGACTCTAAGATCAAGTTCCCTCTGCCTCACCGTGTCTCCAAGAGAAGAAATGTGTCGCAGTTCACCACCAGACGTCCAACTACTCATTTTGCGTAATTTACGCTTTGTTGCTTGTTACGGAATAAATTGTTATGGTGTTTTTGAGCTATTGTTTCATGAGAAGTGGTTATCCGCTCGTATTTGTGATCGTTCTTTGCATCTGTCGAGTTTTTGCGCTCCTCTGCGTCTCTGCACGTTATCGCGCCGCCCGTGGCCACGCCCCATTTCGCTGCTGTTTTCATGAGCCACTATCATGCGTGAAAAAGTTTCGTCATACTCGCACTTTGGCTGCTTTTCTCTTCTTTTGAGGCTGTATACGCGCTTTTGATTTTTTCTGTAGTATTTTAGATTCTTTTTGAAGGCAGCAACTATGGGCGATATCCCCGAAGGAGATTACGAGAAAGGCAAAAAAGTGTTCAAGCAGAGGTGCCTGCAATGTCACGTCGTTGATTCGAAAGCTACCAAGACTGGTCCCACCCTTCACGGAATTATTGGACGTAAATCCGGAAGCGTTGAAGGTTTTGATTACTCTGCCGCCAATAAGAACAAGGTTCGTTTGGGAGGATTATTCGGTCTAGCCTTTATTCCAGATTGCTAAAAGTTTCCTCTAAATTTTTTCCCGCATTCTTCCTTTCGTTTCGAAATACGAAACATTATTTCCATTCAGGGAGTAATATGGACGCGAGAGACTTTGTTTGAGTATCTGTTGAACCCTAAGAAGTACATCCCCGGAACGAAGATGGTATTCGCTGGATTGAAGAAAGCCGATGAGCGAGCTGATCTCATTAAATATATTGAAGTTGAATCAGCGAAGCCTGTCAGCTAATTATCATGACTTTATTTTGATAAGTTCGTATAGGTTATAGTGAAAGTTTATATAAAGATTTTGATTCTACGAGAGTTCAGAATCTGCTTCTTGTCCGCTGCGGATAATGGGGCATGTCACAAACGATGGGTTTGGCGCGACGCCAATTCCGTATTCTAACAGCTGTGATGAGACTGTATCTCGTCGTTCGTATCAGTCACTTCCTCGAATTGTTGTCGCTTTCCCGCTTCAACAACTGGTGCGGAACGAGCTGGCGCCGCGCCAAACCGAGCTTCACTGACACGCCGCTTCATCAGTTGCGAACAGGACTGTGTTCTCATTAAGGCTCTGATGAGCGAAACTTGTAACATTCGAGGACCACCGAATCGGGAGATCTGCGGAAAGAAAAACGCATTTCGGACTGAGGACCCGAAAATGTCGAAATGTTGAGTCACGTTCATTCGTAACGATTTGAAGGCGCAAAAAGAAATGTATGTATCGATTTCGGGAAATGACGAGTCTGCGGAGTTGGGTGAAACGCGAATCTACAAAAATCCCGGAATAGGCGACAAACACTAGATGGGGACTGATGGTTTGGCTCCACCCTCTGCGATTTTTTGGGCAAATGCCGGAGTTCGGAATCGCCATTTCTCCCAAAAAACCGCCGAGGAACTCGACCTTCAACCCCTATCTGGTCGCCGTCGATTTCTGTAAATTCTGCATTTCACCCAATTCCGCAATTTGTCGTTTCCCCAAATTGCTGCCTATACCTTCCTTTTTCCGCAGGTTCGTCATTTATTTGAAGTTGACGTGTGTGAAGGGGTCTTAATTGTTAAGCACGCATGGTCTTCTATACTCCGACTGAACTTGGTTGATTTGGTTCGTCTGAAAGCTAGGCAAAACGGTTCATCAGAGTTTTGAGTGTTTCTTTTTCCAGTTATTTTTGTTCTTCTAGGATTGAATGGAGCCATTCGCTACGTCCTTTTTTGAGGATTCACCGAGTATTTGACTCTTTGTAGTCAAAAACTTCAGGCGCAGTACCACAGAAGTTCGAAAGTAGTCCTCATTATCGATGATTTCACTGCATATACTGTCAGTGATTATGATGTTTGCGGAGAGGGCAGGCACGTGATTCATTTACGCCCACAAAGAACGTGACCATTTTGGGAGGCCTTGACGAAGACGGCATCAGGTTGATGTTTGATGGTGAGAGACTCAGTTGATAACCGCTCCTAAACATTATGACGAGGGGACACGCTTGATGTTTGTTGCCTTAAATAGCTCGACCACTGTGAAACTCAATAATAGATCTATGTAAGAACCAGGTTGTCTGCGTGTTTACCTGTATTACGCGAGAAATCGCTTTAGGGAGCGGGTGAAGTCTGACATGGATTAGGCCTAGGTTGGGCTCTGCCCACAGTGGGCGGGGCGTGCACTCAAGCGCGAGGTGATAGGGGCAAAAATTCGTGAAACGCCTATGGAGCATACAAGGGACGGGAAAAACAAACGAATGTCTGCAACGGGTCGGCGGGTGTGCATGCACTGGGTAGCTCTTGCCTTCTCGAGCATCCGGAGGGTGCTGTACAGAAAATTCGGAGGATTGCGTTCTAGGGGTGGGGAAGGGGGGGGGGAGTGGGGAAGAGTCATGCGTCGTGGCACGTGACATATCGTGTTCTTGGTGTGCATCGCCTTTTCAATTGCAGCAGCGAAACTTTTCTGATCGAGCCAAGATTCCGGAGCTGTAAAATGGTGTAAATGAGTCACTTGGAGTTCACTCTGGTCGCAGGAGCTTACAGGTCTCCACAAGGTAGCCGTACAAACTTAGCTGAGTACCATCGTGCCCCCACCAACCAGACTGCGTCAAAGAAAATTTTAAAAATACCGAAGGAACACTGTGACGTCAGAAAGTACTAGAATAACTATCCTTTATTTTAGTAACATCAAATATATTTTAATAAAAACAGATACTCGCACTGGGTAAAAACAGAAACATCAGTGGTAACAGACGTGTTAAAACACATAAAAAAAGCAAGTATGCGCACTTTTAATTACTTTGAATTTACTACTTGTGCTTGGCACCCAACGGCTGACCAATGTCTTTGCCGCGCAGTTTCACCTGAAACACGGTGATAAGCTGACGATCAGAAGAAAAAAAACATGCATGTATCATCAAACTTAAAACCAGTTCGAACTACACGTTGTAATGCACTTTGAAAAAAGGTCTCAGCGTTGGCCAGCGCGCTCTAGGATGCGCCATGTAGTCCACTTTCATTCAATATCAAAACTTC